GATGAATTGGGGAGTGTTTGGGTGGATATTGTAAATGATGTTGAGGAGATTAAGTTGGTAGTGATAACCGGCGATTTTGGTGGCCGGAATGATGTGGATATTGGGTCCATAACCGGCGGCTAGGAGCTCCTGACGGTTTTTTTGTTGTTCTTTTTAATATTTTTGTACTGATTTGCATTTTTAAAAAAGTTTAGGAACATATTACAATTTATTCTTTATTTATTATTTATTTATTTTTTTTATTTATGCCCGATCTGTTTCTGATTTTTCATGAATTAAAATTAGAAAATGGAACGTTAGTGGGGCTCGCGTGAGAGAGTGGAAGTCAATTATTGCAACCCAACGATCTGATTTCTGATGAAAATCTACCCAAAAAGCTTCACTAGACATCGCCTTAAATTGAATGGTAAAATGGTAAAAAATTGGGGAAAATGATGTTCAGTGCCAAAAATGTGAAATGTAGAGACGTTCTGCGTCAAAAAATAAAAGGTAGGGACGTTATGCACAAGGCTCGTTAAGTTTAGGAATAAGATGGAAATTGGGTCCATAACCGGCAGCTAGGAGCTCCTAACGGTTTTTTTTTTTTTTGTTCTTTTTAATATTTTTTATTATAAGTTTTGGACGGATTAAAATTAATTATTAAATTTGATAAAAATGTAAATTATAATTTCTCTGAAGTAGGGCCTAATCTATTTGCATCAATGTAGGTGATGTGACGTGACATACAAAGTTGATAAATGAAAGAAAGGGTATTATGGTCTTTCCTTTTGTACGTGAATGATTACTCATTTGGTCTAACTCTAGTTGAGATCTTAGACACAAGTTTTAGAGCATGTTTGAATTCAATTAAAATTGAAAATATGGTTGTTATTGAGTCTCATTTGTCTAATAAAAATCAATAATAATGACTAATTTTTCAATTTTAATCCGATTTTAATTTCTACCAAACACGCCCTTAATAAGACTGTGTTTGATTCCCTCCTTTTCCATGGAACATTTTATGGTGTTTGATTGCAATATTTTTCCATGGAATTTGTTCTCTCCCCATCATTCACGCGCTTCTTTTCTGTGTTTTCCTTGAAAATGTTTTCTTTTGGTTTTGGTGGAATTTTGCTTTCCTCTTTTTATTTTTTTATTTTTTGGCAATTGGAAGTTCTTCTCGGCACAACGGAATTTTTTTTTTTCACTTTTATTGACAATTTTCATGTAAAACAAAGCCAAACGAATTGTATTGATATAGTAAAATTATTTTTTTTCAATTTTTTTTTTTACTTTTAGGCAATTGGAACAAATTTTAGACCCAATAGTAGAAAAAATTATCACTTTAATGGACACTTTCCATGAAAAACGAAGCCAAACGGATACCAAACTTTCAACATTTTTCAAGTGGAAAATTATACCAATCAAACATAATTAATTACAATTCCCAACAAAACAATTTTTAGGTAATTTAATTCCCTATAAAACATTTTCTTTCCACCAATTTTCCAAATTTACAATCAAAAGGACCCTAATAGTTTTGTCCTTACTATTTTTAAAATATATTTTTTTCTCTTATTTTCAATCATATATTTTTTTAATAAAATAATATTATACGTTAATTCAATTTTTTTTTTTAATTTTTTAACCACAAATTCTCCATTTAAATACTATTTCAAAATGTATTTTGTACAAAAAATGAGGCTCAAACAATGTATATATTTTAATTACATGAAAAGTTCATAACGTTAACATGTTATAACATTTATGACTCAAAACTTTTTTCATTTCATCTTATTCACAAATAAACATAATTTTTTTCTGATTATAATTTCTCTCAATTTTTTTTTATAAAGTAACAAGACTCATTTGCCTCCCTACATTTTTAAATAGCAAAATAAATAATAATGCAAAAATGTAATTAAATATTTAATCCTCATTTTATAACAATTTTTTTTTTTTAACAAAAACCGTAATTAAAGACAAAATTTCCTAATAAATGAAATGTTAAAAATAAGAATGCAATGAAAAAGAAGTAATGAACACGAGTATGATAATGAATAAAGGTTACCGACCTTTAATTTAATTAAAATGTGATATATTTATTATAAAATGGTTTGAATATATATACACTAGTTTTACACCCGTGCAATGCACGGGTTGTGGTATTTTTAAGGTAATATTAGCGTCTTGAATGTTAAGATTGGATGGAAAGTTGTATTATAAAATTTCATTACGTACATTTGTATAAAAGAAATAATGTTTCATAAAAAACTCTCGTTTTCACTGTCTTAAAAGTACATAAAGACTTATACATTAAATCAGGTTCTTGACCAAACTCCACTTAATTCAAAGGTCAAATAACCAAAGCACACATGCACGCACTTTATTATAAAAATAAAACATAAATTAAACATATGTAAAAACTAAAAACAATCAAACCCCGGCCTTGACATTTCTTGTCAAGAGGAGAGCCAAGGATAGCGACTGATGAAGCGGGAATTAACATAAGCCTCAATTGAATATCAATTGATGCCAATTTCTCCAAATTCTTACCAGTCATAAAAATTTTCATTCTTTTTTCTTGAACCCAAATTTTGAATCCGAAAATGGACTGAAATAAGGAAAGACCTTGCAAAAGATGAGAAAAGGCGGCGACAATCACGAATTTGATAGAAATCAAAGTGAAAGTAAATTTTGATCCCGACCCACAAAGTTACATTGAAAAAAGAAATATCTAAAATATTAGTCAAACAAAAGAAAACAATAGGGATGCAGCTCGTGCAAAAAGGGATTGCATTTGAAAATGATGGTTTTTTTTACTGTTTCTATGGGTCCTTAAATTGAAACTTTCGTGTAAAAGTTCTCGATACAAAACAAAACTTTCAAAAAAAAAATACGTCCTGAATGAACATGCAATATCGAATTAATCACCTCCTTCGTTTGGAGGATTTAAATTCAAATATAAATATATAAATAAGAAAAGGTAAAAATTACGAAAAGAGATTTTGTATGAATAGTTGGAAATTGAGTAAGGTTAAAAAAAAAAACTGTAAACTCCACATAATACTTTATATAAAATAATAATTAGTAAGGGGATTAACGGTGGGGCTCGAAGGCAATGCCCCCGACGGGGGTCGAGGGGGCAGTGCCCCTCGTGGAGGTTTGGGAGCAACGCCCCCAACGGGGATCGACCTGCTCGGTCGGTCGTGGGGATCGAGAGGGCAGCGCCCCTCGTGGGGGCTCGGGGGCAATGCCCTCGAAAGGATTTTTGATTTTCACGTATGTATGAAATTGCATTTTTTCTAATATTTTTCAATTAAATTATTAACAAGTGGTTGGGTTGAATGTATGAGTGGAAGTGTCGGTAATTTGGGGTAATGGAACGGTGGAATGGTAAAAGTAAAAGTAATATATAATTGTTAAAAAAAAAAATTTTAATGTGCCTGAGTTCAAATCTCCCCGTTTCTCCCCGTGCGCACAC